AACTGATCATAACTGGTCGAATGACGTCAAGTGACTAAATAACGACGTCTATATCAACCTACCAAGCCTATATCGACGATATACCCTTATAGAAATATCATACTAAGAATCATTGATAATTACTTATTATCCAGTATTTCATTACTGAAAATAAGTAATTATCAATGATTCTTAGTATGATATTTCTATAAGGGTATATAGGCTTAGATTATATCGTACATTTGATATGCGTACTAAATAGTAACTTTCTATTAGATAATCTTAATATCGACGATATATATAAACAACGGTATATTAAGTTAGTATAATACTCATCTACAAAATTATCTAATAGAAAGTTACTATTTAGTACGCGTATCAAATGCACGATGTAAACCAAGCCATTGGCCGCGTTCAGTAGAACAAGTGATCAGTAAGCGCTCAGGGAGCTCTTGTATATGATTTGGCATATTCTTTTAGATCTCCAACTATACTCCAATCAGATGCAAGAGCTCACTGAGCGCTTACTGATCACTTGTTCTACTGAACGCGGCCATTGTGATACTCGTATCAAGTGTACGATGTAAACCAGGCTATAGGTCTGTAATCAACTGAGTGAGTGAGTGCGAGAAAGAAAGAGAGGGAGAGAGAGAGAGAGAGAGAATATTAACTTAACCTAACCTCTAACCAATCCTAAGCTTTCGTTTAGAATCGTTATACTCGCTAGTGAACGATCAAAATATCATTGAATGTTTTGGTTCAAGGAACGACTGAATTAACAGTTTCACAGTATGTCGATCAAACTCTTCAGGACTATCAATCTGCTAATTCCGAGAAGTCAATATGTGCGGCACGGACACCGGTTACGTGGAAAGCCACCGTTGATCGCCCGTAGTCTGAAGCAGCGTCTCGAGATACTTAAACGGGCGAAAGAGGATTCAACGTTGGATTTCGATGTAAACATTGGCTTCCCAGTGACCCAGATCTCTAGACGAACAATGACGAAAACTTGGGCAAATGAGATAACCGCGCATAGAAATAATCCCGAGTTAGAGAGAGTCTCACGTACCAGACAGCTACTTGTGGATCTAAAAGATGTGAGAAAACATTGGCTGCAGACCGACGGGCCATTTCACGTTTACAGAATAGCAAAGCACTATGGTGTCTACAGTGATCTCTATAAGGATGCGTATTTTATGCCGACGGTTCCGTTGGATATAACTTATGACTTGCAAGATGATAAAATGGTAAGAGTTTACACTGGTAACGTAATCAAACCAGAGGAAGCTTCCAAAGCACCTGATATAGTATACAATACGAAGGATGAATCACTGTGGACATTCTTAATGACTACACCAGATTGTAATTTGACCAACCCTAGTAATGAATATTGCCATTGGTTCATTGGCAACATTCCTGGGAATCGTGTAAATGAAGGAGAGGAGCTGATAGATTATTTAAGACCAATACCAGCATATGGTATCGGATACTGCAGATATATCTTTATATTATACAAGCAGAACTGTCATATAAATTACTCGGAATATAAAAAAACAAAGCCTTGTTTGAATCTGAAGGAACGTAACTGGCAGACACGAGATTTTTATTCAAAGCATCAGCATCAATTGACGCCTGCTGGCTTGGCATTCTTCCAATCAGACTGGGACTACACGATGAAAGAATTTTATTACGACACACTGAAAATGAAAATGCCAATATATCAGTATGATTTTCCACAACCATATATCAAGAAACAAGTTTGGTTCCCCTTGAAGGAACCGTTCAATCTCTACCTGGACAAATACCGTGATCCCAAACAAATAATGAAAGAATTCTTGCTGAGGAAATTGAAAAAAACTCATCCATTCAAAGGGTCAGATCGAAAACCGTTATTCCCGTTAGCTTATCGTACCCATCCCAACATGCCATCCTGGTTGAAATTTGAGATTTTAAAGAAGAGGTTGGGGTATGGTCGTGTTAATGATCTCGATGAATATTAGAGATTGGAGTAATATGGTTATAATATAATAAATAATTATTCTGGATTGTTGTGTTTTATTATATACGGCTCTATTTAAGACAATCTTGCGAATTATTCGGATTTCAAATGCGCCTCTGTAATCTGCCTGCTGCGGAATTTGATGTCAACTCGCGTTGGAACAGTAGCGTCGACTATTTCATGTTCGACGAACAATCCTATAAGAAATAAAAAGAAAGTCATAATATAGATTAGACAATCTAATGGCCGCGTTCAACAGAAAATTGCTTTACAAATATAAAATTGAATTTTTGAGATCCAACTAAGATTAAGAGCATACATGATTCACAGATTACGAATTTTACAACAGCAGTAAAGAAGCTTTTTCTGCTAAACGTAGCTATTGATAAGATATATTAGATGTTATATTAACCCGGAAGTAGACGCGTGACCAACGTTAGTGGGCGCGTATCGGTCATTTCGACCGAAATATATTTAAGCATATATATGTGTAATAATTAAGTAATAATTAATAAATTACCAATTTAATTATTAAAAGAAACAATAATTGAAGGAAATAATTTTATGTCACTATTTCTTCTTTTTCCCATCTTTTTTTCTTCTTACCATTTCTATATCTAATATGTTTAAAAAAACATATTAGACTTATTAAACTTATTATATATATGTGAATATATTAAAAATAAAATCATAATATTTTTATTTTAACTTCATTAGTAAAAAATGACATTCTTTTAGTTTAATAAAATAAAATAAGAATTAAAGATAAATAAATAATAAATAAAATAAGAGTAAATAAAATAAGAATTTCTTGCTCCTCTCGTTTTACTTTGATTAACTTAAACATTGATTTAATAAACTTAAAAATTTATTTAATAAATTTAGAAATAGAGAATAAATCTTCTTGATTTAATAGCAATATTAAAATTATCACATTATGTATTATTTCAATAATTCAAATATTAATTTTAATAATATCGATATTGAATAAAAAATATACTCCAATTACGCGTGCTGTTGAAAATTGTATTGATTCAACAAAAAAAGAGAACTGTCCGTCCAACTACGATGTCGGAAAGACAATAGACGTTCGGCGGCACATCGAGCGACGCTGACGCGATAGAGATAAAAGACTACCCTTATAGAAATATCATACTAAGAATCATTGATAATTACTTATTTTCAGTATTAAAAATACTGGATAATAAGTAATTATCAATGATTCTTAGTATGATATTTCTATAAGGGTAGTAGGCGTTAATAGGCGTGCTATGGTTTTTTAGACCGACTACTAAAAATGTATCAAATTTTACATAGAAAGCGCATTTTCGCCGTCTATTTTTTCATGCTACATAAGAAAACATTAAAGAAAATTTACGTAAAAGCGAAAATAGGATAATGTTACCCTTATAGAAATATCATACTAAGAATCATTGATAATTACTTATT